AGCGGCAAGGCTAATATCCTGCGTTCGAGTCCAGGATATTGAGTGGCATGGCCAATATTCTGTGTTTGAGTCCAAGATATTGAACTGGCATGGCCAATATCCTGTGTTCGAGTCCAGGATATTGAGCGGCACGGCCAATATCCTGTGTTCAAGTCCAAGATATTGAACCGACATGGCCAATATTCTGTGTTTGAGTCCAGGATATTGAGCGACATGGCCTATATCCTGTGTTCGAGTCCAGGATATTGAGCGGCATGGCCAATACCCTGTGTTTAAGTCCAGGATATTGAGCGGCACGGCCAATATCCTGCGTTTGAATCGAGTTTTCAGCCACCGCTTCTAATTAAAGCAGGTGCTCGAGTGCAAGCGCGTGTTATGATTTGAACACAGCCTTTTACATCTCTCATTATCGTCATTGTCGTTATCATCAATCACCAGCCATGGTCTATCCACTGCTGGATGAAGGCCTCCCCAATTCGTCACGATCTCACACAGTTCTGCAATGTAACCATCTAGTCCAGCAGCTGTACACACTTATTTTTTAATTATCGCTCCATCTACGCGGCGGTCCTGCTCTCGCGCAGTTTACCTTTGTTGGCTGCCATTCTGAAGTTGATCTTGACCACCACCAGCAATCGTCCCTTTCAGCAACGACGACTACTCGCGTTAGTCCACATTGACTATAACCATTTTTTTAAAACTCACTGTGAAGCTATTTTTTATTCGCGACATAACTCTTTTCCAGAAGCGAACTGACCATCACAAACGACAGCCCACCTACGTGGATTATCATGTGGACATTTATAGTAGCAGCCAATTACTCTAAGCACAGGTTTCTACGTCGAGCACTCGCTTGTTTTTTCGCATCCATGCCATTCTTCGATCTGTCTCTCGGTGCAATTCCAGGCGTGACCTTTTCAGGGGTTCGTATAATTTTATACATCTCGCCGATTAGCACGGTCGGCTACGCACACGGTGCAAGAGAAGTTCAACGTTCAGCTGGCACCGAGGTTAGACCACTCAACTCACGACCGCCGATTCTGGCCGCCTGCTAACGGAATGTGGAATCTGCACCGCTGCTTCGGGGCCACTAACCGAGGTGATCTCTGTACAATGATGACGGGAAGAGGCCGGTCCGCTCCGCTTGGTGCTGCTCATTCATTCAGCGAGCCATAGCATCCACGGTGGCCACGTGTCGTACCCATAGACCTCCGTTCAAATTGGACATCTGTGAAAAAAAGAGCCGCATAGCCTCTCGGATTCCTCCAGTCTAAATAAATATTCTGATTCTGAGACAGCGGACAATCTTAAACAATATGCTGCATCGATTGTAGCGAGCCACGATTTGCACCGCAATTCATTCACCCACTCACCCACCAACCAACTCACTCAAAGACAAAGATCTCCCGTATAGCCTAAAACAGACTGTTGGGGCAAGTGCTGTTAGCGAGCACCTATGAAGGCGGGAACGGTACACATGGGGTGGGTGGCCAGCATAACGCCCGACTGCCTTTGTCATTCTAGTGGCGATGTTTACACACCACATCAGGTACTCATTTGAGGCTGGGTCGACCTAGGGAGGGCCAAGTGACCAGTTCAGATATTCATCACCGGTGTTGGCCATGAGCGGGAATCGAACTCGTGGTCGCCGGGCTCGCAGCGCAGCTCGCTAACCGCTACACGACCGCTCCCCACACCCACTCACTCACCCACTAACTCACCCATCCACTCACCGATTCATCCACTCAACAGCTCACAAATTCATTCAGCAAGTGCACAATAACTGAGCCATGTGGCAGCGTCCTCGGTGGCCATGTGGAGTTTCCGTAGCCATCCGCCGAACTGAGTCAGTGGACAGGCATCAACAATACTCCATGTTTAAAATGAACACCGGTTTTAGAGTATTTGTCTGCTCCGAATTTCCACCTGATAAGCCACTTTGTTGGTCTATCATTTGTGGCCAGGTCGCTTCTGAAAAAGAGCTCTGTAGCGCAGTGGGCCTTACCTGGCAAAATACAAAACAAATGTTTATAGTTTAGTTTACATTGTTTCCACGGTGCCACAAGTGCAGTTTGTGTGGTCGTGAAGACCCCGACAGATGGAGGTTAGCCGCACAGAGACCTTGGCCCTGTGTCCGAAATCCATGCAGCAAGGACCCCGTGCAGAAAAGAACCTGTGGAGCTAGAGACACGTGTAGCAGCAAGGCCCAGTGACGGCGTGGTGGGGTTGAAGCAGAAGAAACGTCCTCCTGGAACTCTTACAGTCGACAGAGCCTCAATTCACATCAAGGAGTGGACTCCGGAATAAGAAGAAGATGGTGATAACGATGATGCCACAGACCCACACCGATGGGAGCCACTTCAGTAGCAATCGCTTCGATAGGCGTCTCTCAACCAAACGTTCAGCGCCGCTCCTTCGTGCTGTGTAAATCGTGTTTCGCAGAGTGCCAGCGATCGGCTGTCTGTTTTTGTTTTTGACTTTCAGGCCTGGGTGTAGTGGAATTAATTTTGGACGGGTTTTGTTTATTTGGACAGTCATAGGTGACCGCAACTTCAGATCCTCAACGCAGTGCGCTTGAGCAGCCGGTTTATTCACGGGCGGTTGAAACCGGGATTAGAACCCAGATCTCAAGGACACGGCCATTACTATCCTGCTGAACCCGTGGGGCACCTGTGGTGTGTACATATTAAACATTTGCTGTATAAATGTTTTATACTGTTTGTATTTAATACTTTGTAATTGCTGGGTCTATTGTAAACCTATGACCTTTTTCAATTACAATCTTACAATAAACTGAGTAAATTATCTGTGTGAATGGATATGTACGTGTTATGATCCCATCGATATGTAGAGCGGTGGGATAGTGAATAGTGATAAGCACACTTCACTACGAACTCACTCATCTGGGTTCAATTCCCAGCCATGACTGACATCAGTGGCGTGTACAGGATCTGGATTTGTCCTGGGTCTCCCACAGGGCAACTCAGCCCCAAATGAGTACCTGGTGTGGTGCATAGACATCAACACTGGGGAGACAAAGGCGGCCAAGCATGGGTGTATCCCACCCGCCCTGCATTTGAGAGTAATGTTCGTCACACGACGGTCCAAACGATATTTTTAATTGTCAGAGCTGGAATTTAGCCAAGTCAACCGCAGAACCAAATTTGATTCGATTTTGGCGGGTGTGCTGTGCAGTAAATGGTGACCAGGATGAGACCATCAGCTCCACGGCACTTGAGAACCTGGTTCCACCACGTGCAGCTGAAAAACCTGGATTCGAACTCAGATGTTCGGCAGTTGCCAAGCTCAGCGGTCCGACCAGAGCCACCCGGGCCAACTTGTGTCCTAAATGACAATAATAATAATACTAATAATGTAAAGGCGGAGCCCTGCAATTGCCTGCTCAGGCCACTGCTGGCGGAAGGTCTTCCGCGAGAGCAGAGGCCTGCAACCAACACAACAAGAGGATCCTTTTTTTAGAATTTGGTTAAAAAAACTCAATATTTCAAGAGCCCCAATGACACGTGAATACGATACGGTGGGTCCTTAATAAATTACTTCACGAAGCAGTCCTGAAAGAGCCGCACGTGGCTCCGGAGCCGCAGATTGCCCATCCGCTCTCGAGAGCTCCTCTTATCGTTTATTTTGGCCTACTCTTCCACGCTGGCCAGACGTCTTGGAAGAGGTGGGAATACCCACACCTTGCGCCACCACCCAATTGACGTGTGGTGGACTCATACTGCTGGGTGGACAGAGTTAGTGAGATTTGAGAAAACTTGCAACCACCGCTTCAATGTCCATACACCAAGCAATGGAATTGATTGCAAGCCCTGTCTGTGAACCACATTTCATCTCCTCTCATGTCGCCTCCTGTCCTCTTCGTTCCCAATTTTCTCTCTCTGTGTGTCCCCTCCTCATCCCTGTGCCCAATCCCCCTGTTTCAGTCCTTCACCCTCCTTGCACCCCTCCACTGGAATCAACTTCCCTTGTACATTGAGCGGCACTGCTACCCATAGACTCAACACTGCCCATAGACTCAACACTGCCCATAGACTCAGCACTACCCATATACTCAAAACTGTCCATAGACTCAGCACTGCCCATAGACTCAGCACTGCCCATAGACTCAGCACTGCACCATAGACTCAACACTGTCCATTGACTCAACACTACCCATAGACTCAACACTGCCCATAGACTCAGCACTGCCCATAGACTCAACACTGCCGTAGACTCAGCACTGCACCATCGACTCAACACTGTCCATGACTCAACACTACCGATAGACTCAACACTACCCATAGACTTAGCACTGCCCAAAGACTCAACACTGCCCATAGACTCAGCACTGCACCATAGACCCAGCACTGCCCATAGACTGAGCACTGCCCATAGACTCAGCACTGCCAATGTACATGAAGCAGCCCCCCTCCACCTCCTACCATTCCTCTGTTAAAGCCTCGCCTCCTCTTCGCCATCGCCCATTCAATTCCTCTTCCTTCCCCTCGCCCCTCCACTCCTTCCCGTCCCTCCCCTCCAGCCCTTCCGTATTCCCTAAGCACCCCTCTCTCGCTGCTGTCACTCAATCCTCAACACCTTGCAGCACTGCCCCTGTCAATGTGACCATTCCACTCTGTCGCCATTTTGTGAGCCACGTCATCCGATTCGATGTCATTAATAGGTGCTCACAAACACCTGAGTGTGTATATATGTTACACCAAGGCCGTAATCATAATATATATATTGAGGGGGACACATCCCCCCCAAATATGCTCAAAATGTCCCCCCCAATATATTGCTATACAATAGATTTCTGTTTATATGATTGTGGTTATGTTTGTACTTTATTAATCCCTAATCTCTGCCATTACATATAATGAAACAAGAAAAGGTAAAAAATAAAAAACAGAGCAAAGTAATACAATACACTGTTAGACATTATTGTAAAAAAAAAAGTCCATCCCATGTGTTAGTGAATTTTTTTTTATATTTTAGGCAGGAAATGGCAGGAAATTCGTTTTCAAATTTCGATATTTTTCTGGGGGCGGACCCCCAGACCCCCTGAAAGATTTGGTCCCCCCAATCTTGACTCCATGGCTACGGCCTTGTGTTACACATGTACATATGTTACACACACACACATATAAATGTAAACCAGGCAATAACAATCACACATTTTGGACGGGCCATAGAAATGGAACAGTTAACGTTTAATGATAAACCAAAAGACAAAAAAAACGAAACAAAATCTCTACTCTCAGTCACCTCAGAGGGCCTCTCTTTTTTTTAGCACAAAATCATGAAACGCGGAGCTCGTCAGCGCGAGCCCACACACCGCGACGCACAAAGAAAACGCGCAAAACGTGACGCGGACATTGACGACTCGCGCGCGATGTATCCCGTTGACGAACCTTGTGGCACTAATCGATTAAAAGACCCACGGCAATCTATGAACGTAGTACCCGATGTTAGTCGTCGCTAACACCGCTCGATCCTGTTACCTAGCTAGTCCCGTTAGTACAAGAGCTCCTCCTCCAAACAAACCAAAAATATCTACTCCCTATTCAACGTCGTGTGGTACAGAGAATGTAGATTGATCCCCCCCCCCTCCCCCCACCGTTGGAATAGCTCTGGCCTGCCAATAGGGCGTGCAGTAAATGTCATCAATTTGGTTACGATGCACCGCTAAGCTCGTGGTAGATTCATTGAATCGCAGACGTGAGAACTCGAGTGGCACGTGTTGCCTGTGGTCGAAATGGCATCGGAACGAGCCCCCATCATGTCAAAAGCCAAGCAAGGTTTGAGGCTGGGTAATCTGCGGGTGACCACTGTGCATTCGAGACAAGTGTTGTGGGCGCTGTGGGGGAGTAGAGGGCAGTACAGTTTAAATCCCATGATGTCCCCACACTCCGTCCAATACCCCAACCCTCACCAACCCGCACTGACCAACCAGCGAGGTGAAGTATGGTCTAAAAATACCTCATGGCCCTCAAGGCATGGTGGGGGGGGGGGGTCCTCATCCAGGAGTGGATTGACAAAAAAAAAGTGCAAAATAAAATCCTGTTTGGATTTATAATATTCAAGAAGGGCAATAATGTAGCTGTGGTGGCAAAAATTGACAAGTAGAGATGAGTGACCATCAGGGCCACTAATCGCATGGACTTAGCGTTTCGTGTTCTCTGAGATAAGCTCCCAAGTGTCAAATGTGGTAGCTCATAGTAATGACCCCGTGGCGTAGGTAAATTTCCACAGCCCAGGGTTCTTCCTTTGCAAGGCCCCGCGGGGCCACTGGGTGGCCCCTGGTGGCCTTTAGTGCGGCCTCGTGATCGTGCGGCCTCCGACAATCCACAACATGTGAAGACCCCCCCCCCCCCCCCCATCATCGTGCTGATGTCAAACCCAGCAATGGTTTCAAACGCGTGGCGGCTCTCACGCTGACGATGTCTTATCGGCCAAAGTGGGCCCGCCCCCCCCAACCTCCTGCCCACAGCCCCACCTCTGAACATGAGTGAAGACCACCGCCTTCAGATAAGAGACTCCGCCGCACTCCCCCACATCGGTCCGTTTCATGCGACGCGATCAGTCACGTGCTCGCTCACAATGGCCACGCTGTTTCACAGCCGTCGCATCAATCGACCGTAGCGGTGCCACCGCGGTGGGCACGCCGTTGAGTCGCGGCCCCCCCTCCCCACCTCACATCGCGACAATTCATCAAATTGCCCGCCTGTAAGGGGGTAGGGGTGAAGGAGAGCATTTGCACCCACGGGTGTTGGAAAATAACCTGCCAGTTAAACAGCAGCAGCAGCAGCGGTGGCAATCACCCCCCCCTCCCGCTCCCCCGAAAAGTGGCAGATGAAAGGCAAACTTAGGGGCCGGTGCGGTGCTGAGTCACCGGCCTTGTACTGCACGGGGACAGCTGCCACTGAGGGAGGTTCCCCCCTGTCGAAGCGAATTGTTAATTACCTCGCCTGATATACAGGAGTTCGTGGGTTCGATCCCGACACTTGGTGGTCGCGTGGATTGTTTCTCCGGGTCCTCCGTGGTTTCCCTCCACATTTAGAATCAACATGTGTTGAGAGTATTTGGCTGCTATAAATTCCCACGTGGCAAGCCACTTGACTGGGCTTTCATTTGTGGCCAGATCGCTTCTGGGAAAAAATAAACTGTATATCTCATTGTGGGCCTTGTCTGGGAAAATGTTAAAACATAACTGTCTGAGATGAGATGTGGTGCAAGGTGCTTTTAGATGCTATGGCAATTCAAAAATAAATAAATCCAAGTTATTATGATTATTAGATATCACCACTGCACGCCACATTTGAATTGCTTCCATACTGCCGCTCTTCTTTTTGTACGGCTTCATGTAGACGCAGAGCAATAACTTACAATTTCACATGCAGGCGGTGTCCTGAGTGAAACAAGAATAAAATATTTAGAAAAGTTGAAATATCCCTGTAGATCTCGGATTCACATCTTGCAGACGGTAAAAGTGCAGCCCTGCAAATGTTCTATATCACGCTGCTGCTGCTGCTGCTGGCGGAAGGAACTACACCGTCTGGTCGGGACTTTCGCCAGACGTCTTTGAAAACTGTGAGAGTGCCCACACTTTACCCCACCACACGCGTCCTCTCCGATCGGCCACGTGTGTGTGTGTTGCATGTGTGTGTGTGTTGCACGTGTGTGTGTGTTTGCGTGTGCCACACGACGAATTTTTTTTCCCACTCGAGCAACAATAAGCACTACTTGAGTTTTCGGAGTAACCGTCAAACTTTGACATCGTCCCACGACGATCGCGCTCTCGGACCATAACACGTGTCGAGCGCATCGACGATCTGGCTATCCGCTTGGCTTGCCACCGAGCCAGTGCCCTTTGAGGTTTGCAGTTTGATTCCCACTACAGCCCACGCGCTAAACTTCTGCAAAACAGACTGCCTTGCCCAAGCCCGGCCGCGGTCCGTGGTGAGAGACCCTGTGATATAATTTGCAAGGGTTAGGCCATTGCATGAACAGTGAAATAGCCCTCGTCCCGAATTTCGCAAGTTACCTGTGACTATGATAATTGGTTCTTTACCCTTCTATCTGGCAACAAAACTGACACCTTTTTACAAGGAGTCATGTTTGCATAGACCGCAATACCTGCAGTCATAATACAAACAAAAGAACATAACTCTGATAATGTGCACTGTCCTTAAAGTTGATTGGTCCACACCCGAGACAGCTTTCCTTCGAGCCTAGTCTCATATGGGTTGGACCAGATGACGCCAAAAGGCGCACAACTCAAGGACAATGCACCATCAGAGTATGAGAGCTCGGGGCAAGCATCTACACTATGGGAAATGAGGTTCCCATAGTGTAGATGCTTGCCCCGAGCTCTCATACTCTGATGGTGCATTGTCCTTGAGTTGTGCGCCTTTTGGCGTCATCTGGTCCAACCCATATGAGACTAGGCTCGAAGGAAAGCTGTCTCGGGTGTGGACCAATCAACTTTAAGGACAGTGCACATTATCAGAGTTATGTTCTTTTGTTTGTATTATGACTGCAGGTATTGCGGTCTATGCAAACATGACTCCTTGTAAAAAGGTGTCAGTTTTGTTGCCAGATAGAAGGGTAAAGAACCAATTATCATATTTTTACTGGCAAATGAGGTTCCCATAGTGTAGTTACCTGTGACTACTTTACAACAACAACAATAAAGGAGCATGTGTGTTATGCTCTCGCCCGGGGCATCCCTTCCAAAAGGGTTCACCCGCATCGATTTATCTCTAGACTGGTTACGCAAGGGAACCTCAACCGAGTCTCAAGACTCATCTTCGTCACGCGACGGTCCCCGCTACATTGCGACGTTCTACGGATGCGCCTCTGCATGTTTGCACGTGATGGGGAGGAACACCGGAGGTGACGAAGTCGCCGGGCCAACGGCCATGCGTACAAGAGGGGGCCACTCAATTTAGACGCAGGCCAGCAGCCTCCTGTTGGTCGTTCTGCATTCGCCCCGGGGCGGGGTGTCCTGCGGGTGGAAGTTGTTCCACGCAATAACTCTCAACCGCGATCCACCAACCACGCTTCGAAAAAGCCGGCTCCCACACCTGAGCAATAAAGTTGCGCAATCAGATCACTCTGGTGATTAACCTCAAACATTGCCTGCGACTGCTTTTTCCGCATCCGAGCAGGTAGTTGTGCGGTCAGGACGCGTCTGGCCACACCCTTTGTAGCCTCGCCCCGCCATTTTTTCCTTAGCTCCTCCCACCAACCACCCACCCACATCAGGACCGTAACCAATCACAGTTAAAAAATTTGTCACGTGGTGAAAGATGTTGCTACAAATCTCTGAGCAGATCCCTTTCAACGCGTAAGTGATTCAGCTGCATGCAACCGATTGCTCAGGTGTTGTGCGCCCGGCCCGAAAGCATTTCTGGGCCACGGACGCGCTTGGCCCAACACCTCAACCCAGCGGAGCGGGTGCATCGATGCCATCGGTTCATCCATAACTACCGAATCTTACACTCACGGTGCACCATGCGCATGTTTATGATGACACACCGTGCCGTCCCCGTGTGCATCTATTATCTTCGCCACTCTCGATCATCTTGCGTAGTTCACGTGGCCTGTGCAGCCACTTAAAGGGGATGCTACAAAGCACCTCCGAGTAAAAAAAAAACCGAATCGTGACAATTCTCAGGGTAAGGGAGTAATTCTTACAGGTATACCTCGTCATAGTGTACGGGGGAGCGATTGCTTACTCAAGTCAGCACAGGTGATTTGCAGTCAGCAATCTGCTGGCTACTTAACCCTTTCCCGTTGCCAGACAACTGCAAGTTGCAGGGTGGTTATCCCATTCACCGTTGAATCTCGGAAAACGCAAGCGGTTCAGCGTGAATTTTATTTACAGAGGCGTAATAGCACCGCTGCTTTTAAATACATTGTACTCACCGCAGAGAACTGTAGCGACACGACCACACTTTATGATAGCTAGCGCCAAACTGTGCCACACAGTCTCCCGCATGGCCTTGTGGGAGCCTCGGTACCGACGGAGTTATTTTGCTTTCGTTTTTATTCCGATTCCGTTCTAATGACGTACACGGACATCATCGGCACGGGAAAGGGTTAATACTGCGCTACCTATAAACCACATATCTCCACCACCACTGCCATCACCACCACACAGGAGGATTCACGCAAACAAAAGTGGCGACAAATGCTGTACTTAGACCCAGTCAAGTGCCTTCCCCTCCTGCTCCCCCACCCCATCTCCCTTACCCCCCTCCCGACCCCCCAACAAAAATCTTTGAGCTTGAATACGGCCGCCGCTACAACAAACGAGCAAAAATCCTATTATCCGCGTCGATGTGGGTAGGGGTCGCCATTGACAAAATCATATATCTCCGCAAAAAACCATGAAAGTAACTCCTCCGCTTGTCTGCGTGGTTATCCATGGATAATCACGGACAATAGGGTGATGGTGATGATGGTGATGATGATGGTGGTGACGATGAAGTTGCCACACCGACGCCTTTAATACGTGGATAAGAGGACGTATGTTTAACACGTAGGCTGTCACGACCGATATTATGCATAATAAAGGGTTTTTTGGGTTAGATCGTGTAAATATAAATGTGTCGTTAAACCCACCACCACCCGACACAGACAATTAGTAAGGTTTGTCACGTAAACAAAACGTGCCAATTAGTTACTGGTACAGCACACCGCTGTGTTGGAGAGTAACCCCACAACATTTACGATTTGTGTACAACGTTTTCGCTGGTGATTACAACCAGCCTCATCAGGAGATAGCCGGAGTTGTTTAGAAAGTCCTCCTGTTTCGGTACGTACTTATGTTGAACTTCTTTCGCTCCCTACTTCACCTACCGTGCGCATCGGAGGGGCGAGAAATCGCCTTCACATCACTTCCCAACTCAAGCTTTCCAACGCCCTGCTGTAGTCTATACCAAGGGTACCCCCAGTGGCAGCTGTCCCCGTGCCGCACCAGCAGCACCGGCCTGCAAATGGGCGGCAGTAGAGGGCGCGGTTGCTTCCTGGTTTGTCTCCAAATTATGGATAATCGGAGTAATTGAGGCCCAAACAAAATTAGTATTTTCCGATCAATTCTGCACCATGGAAAGCAGTTGTAGCGGACAATCTGATGGCAGATTATAATAGGAGCTTCGTTGAACTAACGGTGAAGCTATGTACTGTTACTGTCTCTCTCCATGTCTCTCGCTGCATCTCCATTTCTACGGCTTGACCGCATCTCTGTGTCTCTACCTCCGCTTGCCTCTTGCTCTTCTTGTCTCTGCGTAGCCACCTTGTCTCTCTGTGTCCACTTGTCTGCAAGTCTTCGTGTCTGTTTCCCTCTGTGTTTGTCTCGATATGTGTCTGTCTCTCTCCAATGCCTCTCCGTACGTTTGCCTTCCCGAGTCTTCTGTCTCTGTCCGCGCCTCTCTGTATTTGTCTGCGTGTCTTCCCGTGTGTCTCACAGGCTCTATCTTCTGTCTCGCCTCATGCCTTCATATCTGACTCCTTGTCTATCTGGGCTCTTCTCATTCTCCACCCACACCCACTCCGACACCGTGCAGCATCCCCCTGAAACTGATTTCATTCCCGTCGCCTTCAGCTCCAGGCGAATGATGCCCCCCCCCCCCTCCTTCGAGAAATATGAGAATCTTACAACACACGAATGCACGACTGGTTAGAAGGGAACGGGGGGGATGGGTAGTCTGGAAAATACGAGGACACGTCACGATGAGCTGCCTCCGGCAGTTTGAAGGCTGCCTTATTCACGTCGGTCTCCGTCGAAGTGAACGATGCTACGAGTATACCTACCAGAACTTGATATATACGTAATTTGTATAGTATTTGTTTTTTTTTTGACAATTGCTATAGTCTCCGTCGTACTCACGCCGTCGCTTTAACGAAGGCGCAACCCAAAGAAGCGAACCAGCAAGCGCGCGTGACGCCAAGGGACGCTACCCAACGGCCCGTTTTGTGTCCGTTCTGCGGGGGGATTTCAATCGTCGCCGATCGTGAAAAGTGCACTTTTAATTTTTTTACTTTTCCTTTTGTCAAAAAATGTTATTCCAATGACGGAATCGCGTCACGTGAACACCCCGCGGAAGGGGACTTAACAGAACTACTTCTGACGTCCGCTCCATTGACTCCTATCCATGCTGTGCCCTGTTTGTCACTTGGCATTCACACCAAATATTTTTTAGTCCTCAGAGATTGAACTCTTGTCAGTGGCTAATGCACGATGCTATGAACTTGGTGGCCTCAAGATCGATTCCCCAGCCGCGGCTAACGTCAATGAACCAGTAGTTCTGGTTGCCACCTTTACCAAAATTAACTGACCATCGTGGTGAAGTATGGCCCAACAACTCCCTTGACAGACCTGGCATGGGGTAGGAAATCGATCCAGAAGAAAATTCGCAAAGGCCTGATAATAATTCCGTTTGCATTCATATTTAAGCATGTAAAAAGGGGCTACAAATTCATCGTATGTTAGCACGATGGACTGGAGTATATAATTTGGCAGGAAAAATGGTTGTGTGTTCAGGAAACAATTCGGCTTCCGAAGAAGCTCCCTTGCACGTGGAGCGGAACGTCAGACGTCATGCCGAGCGGTATGACCCCGAGAACGTGAAGTCTCCTTGACAGAAGTTTTAACTTTGCCCCTGCACCGATCGACGGGGTACGGACGTCGCGACAATCGTCCACGCTAAGCTGGGAGCGCTCGTTTTGGGGTTGCGCCTGCCTTTACCGACGCATAACACACTTAGCGATTTTTTGTTTTTATTTCTTTCCCCCGAGCGACTTTTTGTCCCGTCGCGCCAAAAAACACCGCGACTTGGACCGCCTACTCAGCCGACACCAGGGAGGCACTCACGTCCCGTCCTGGGGGATCTCGGTCGGGTGACATGAACGGGACATGCCTCACTTGGTCCTTGTCCTAAGAACGGCGATGGCGGCAGCAGCAGGGGATAGAACTGGGCAACGTTGGCCGAGGCCGTTATCGGCGACTGTCGACATCTGACCCTGCCGCGACCTTCCGGCGGTCAAAACGAAGCCGACCTCGACCGCACACCTCAGCCGACGTCGCAGAAACGGCGGTCGGCAAGGCGAGGGCTTACCAACCAACCCTGTGGCCTCACCCCGCTTGCCTGCTGGGTTGACTGCCACCCCTCTGACCCGGTTAAAGATACACAGTGCACACGTGCGACACCGTAAGCGAATATATGACGCGACATCAGCGTCCTTCCATGGTTGTTCATTGCGTACAACCTGGACACTGGTGTTGATGCCCTATGGTCACTCACGTCTACGGTTGCCACCTCTCCTGGTTTTGCCCGGGATTGCCTCCCCTTGGTTGAGGAGGCCCAAGCCGCTGTCCGGGGAAATCTGCGAGTCTTCCCAGGACATTAAAAGTCCGAGTTTTTGCCAGTTGTGTAATAATTATAATATGTAACGATACACCACTCAAGACGATGCATTTACATGTCGTTCCCCCCTCTTGGTATTGTATGATATTCTTCCCATGGTATGTCCTGGTTTTTTTTGTGTACCTCAAGAGATGGCAACCGTACTTGTGTTGCTCAGCATTAGTTGTGGAAGTGGCTGCCCTGGGTGGTGGGAAACGATCGAAGCAGACCGAGAGAGTCGAGCCGGTCCACACGTTTGTTTTTGGCCAACGCCACCTTCATTGATCAGAAGGTCGGCAGAAAAGTTCAGTTTTGTCGACTACTCCACGTCAACTCCTTCTTGACCTTTTGAGTAACCTGCCCGGCCAGTCGACAACGGAACGAGTGAGAAGAATTTGTAAACAGTGTTTGCAAATACCTCTGTGATGTCGCTTTACCGCATCCCGACGACTTTGCACCATCGCAAAGCCAGGTCGCTCATTAAAAAAAAAAATCGCTAAGTGTGTGTATGCCCGCTGATCGCAAAGCCTTCGCCCACGGCTCACACCAGCGTCGTGTTGCTGATATCGGTGAGCCTCCATCGAGCCTGCGCTGCCTTGAGTTCACGAGTCACGCCATTCCACGGCCGGGCGTCTCCAGACACCGGCCCATGCTGATTGGCTCCTTGCCGGTCACGTGATCCCATCGTCGCACTACCCGAGCAACCGCCGCCAGCAGCCGCCATCTTGCTGCTGAGCAATGAGAGCGGATCCATGTGATGACGCTGTTGTTGCTGCTGATGCTGCTGCTGCGGCGGCGGCTGTTGCTGCTGATGGTGGTGGTGGTGCTGCTGCTGGTGCTGCTGCTGCTTCTGCTGTTGGTGCTGCTGCTGCTGGTGAGGCTGCTGCTGGTGCGGCTGCTGCCTTCGCGATTCGGCTACGATGTCGGACATGGAGGCGGTTTTGCGACGGCTGCCGCATGACTCCGCGGGGACGTCGACGAATCTCTCGCGCCCATTGTGCGGTGGCACCCGCTGGTGGTGGCGCGGGTGTGGCAGCGATGCGCTCAGGGTGCACAGCTCCTCGCCGGCCGCCCCCCCGGGCCCTGCCGCGGCGCAGTCGTTCGCCGCCAGCGTGAAATCGTCGCCGTTGTCGTCCGACCGCCCGTGCTCGCTCAGCGCCACCTGGTTCCAGAAGCTGAGCGCCCGGGCCCGAGGCTCGGGCCTGCAAGCCGAGGCTTCGGCCTGCAGGCCCGAGCCCGGTGGCTGTTGCTGCTGCGGCTGCTGGTGCTGCTGCGGGTGGTGATGCTGCTGGTGCTGGTGGTGCTGCTGCTGGGGCGGCGGGAGCGGCGGAGGGGGCATGAGGGTGGCCGGGGCGCGGGGGACCCGGGCGGGAAGCTGGGCCGAGCGGCGGGCCGCAGCGAGGCCGTGTATTAGGCCCGAGGCGGAGAGTAAAACGCCGCAGCCCAGCGCGCCGGCGCACGCCAGGAAGGCCGGGACGTCCAGAACCAAGAAGGCGTGCAGGGACAGAGCTGTTGTGGCACAGGGGGACAACATCGCAACATCTTTTTACTTGAGGCAGTGAGTTCAGTCGAGGTAAAAGTGCGACCCGGCAACTGCTTGCTCACGCTGCTGCTGGCAGAAGGCCCTCACAAGTAGAGAGAGCTCTCCAAGAGGGTATTTTGGCCTACTCTCCCACGCGGAAGCGGTGGGAGTACCCAAACTTTAACCCACCACACGAGAATCCTGGCGATCGACTAACCAATGGCGCTGTACCTATTTACGGTGCTGGGCGGACAGATGCAATTGTGGGGAGGGGTGTGTGGGAGTTGGAGTGGGATGTAAGGAACTTGCAGCACCGTTTCAACTGTCACAAGAGGATTACAAACCGGTGACACTCTGGATTACAAGTCCAGAAATGATACCCATTACGCCGCAGCAGCATAATCCCATACCTGCATCTCCAATTAGCACGGTTGGCTACATACGGCGCGAAAGAAGTTCAATGCAGACACGTCTTAATACTGACATTAAAATTAGGTCAGACGGCTTCTACTCCACTGTCCTCTGGGACTTTTCTTGTGGGGAGTGTGGTTGGGATAGTGGCTGGGGGGCCGATGTTTATTGTTTGCCACCTGCTGTCTGCTAATTGGGGCAGTAATAGCCCTTCTGTTCCCCCCAGCCCCCTATGTGTCACTGCCTATGCCATACATTATTCTGTGACATCATCTTCCAGGGTGGTTAATTGATTGACTGATGATGTTCATTCACTCAAGGGAAGCCTCATCGACAGTATCGCTGAGTCCGGCAGCAGCAGGAGGAGGACAACGCCGCCGTGCTTTGTTTTTGTTGTGCTTCCAATCCAGATTATTTGGCACGTAGCTCTTCAAACGCGGACCGTGATGTGGCCTACGCTGTCTTGGAACATACCCACGGGGACCTTGAAGGGCCACGTGATTTACGACTAAAACACCGGCGGTGTGGACCGGGGTGCTCGATCCACGAACCTCCGAAGTGTACGTGCGTATGTGTGTACGTGTGTACGGTTGGCGTAAGCCAACCGTGCTAATCGGAGGCACGAGGGGTGGAGGGAGGGGAAGGACAATAAACGAGACGTGGCGAACGCGCCAAACGCTTGGCCTCGTGTCACCGGGGCCCCCCAAGCGGCGCTAGCTGCCGGGGCACGGCGACGTTGTGCCGTGATTCGCCGCGGGTGAATGTGCGCGTCCGGCGACGTGACGCCGACAAGCACGGCTTCAAGAAAATTCGGGAAATTTTGGGCTAATCGTGACGAATTATGGTGAATTTTATTACCTGCGGTGAAGGAGAGCAGAGCGAGGCAGAAGAGAGCCATGGTTACCAAGCGAGCTTTCTGAGTGCTCTCCACAAACCGCTGAGCCCTGAAAGAGACGTGTCGCAGAACAGCGCTGCATCACCTCAGCCATGGCGTCAAGGAGCATGAACCATCATCACGCAAAACTCCGGTCGTCATCGAGGCGATCGAACAAAGACGGTCACCCGCATCGCACGGCGCTTTCAGATGCGCTTTCTGCGGCCGTTCGGAACGCTCTTCCTTCCTGTGCTAGGAAGCCACTCGGAGCTCATTTCTCTATGAACTTATTTTTGTGCGTTTAGTCTGTTGTCCTTCCCCCGCACCTCCGATAAGCGCGTTTGGCTATGTACGGTGCGAAAGAAGTTCAACACACACACAGGGAACGACAGTGGTGAGGAGTAACTGTTGCCGACGGCCATTCAAGCCGCCGTTACCTGGGAGGCTCAAACGGGACATGCTGTGGGGCTGGTAGCCCTGTCCCTCCGTCAGCCCCACCTACATCTACATAGCCCCGCCCACTACTCAGGCAGCCCCACCTACTTCTACATAGCCCCGCCCACTACTCAGGCAGCCCCACCCACTTCTACATAGCCCCGCCCACTACCCAGTCAACTCCTCCTATTTCTACATAGCCCCGCCCACTACTCAGGTAGCCCCACCCACTTTTACATAGCCCCGCCCGCTACTCAGTCAGCTCCGCCTATTTCTACATAGCCCCGCCCACTTCTACATAGCCCCGCCCACTACTCAGTCAGCCCCGCCTACTTCTACATAGCCCCGCCTACTTCTACATAGCCCCGCCCACTTCTACATAGCCACGCCCACTACTCTGTCAGCCCCACCCACTTCTACATAGCCCCGCCCACTACCCAGTCAACTCCGCCTATTTCTACATAGTCCAGACCACATTTGCATAGCCCCACCCACTTGCCGAGTAGCCCCGCCCACTTTTGATGTAGCCCCGCCCACTTATCGAGTAGCCCCGCCCACTTATAGAGTAGCCCCGCCCACTTTTGATGTAGCCCCGCCCACTTATCAGGTAGCTCCGCTCGCTGCGAGATTATTATGGGCGCCACGGTGGTTAGGAGATGTTAACACCCTCGCCTCCTATACAGGAGGTCGTGCGTTCAATCTCCACCCTGACGCCTGCTTATTTGGAGTTTGCATCTTCTCACCGTGATCGCATGAATTTCTTTCCAGGTCCTTCGGTTTTATCCCTCCACATTTAGAATCAACACGCTTTTAGAGTATTTGGCTGCTATGAATGTCCGCATGATGAGCCACTTCGTTGAGCCATCATTTGTGGCCAGGTCGATTCTAAAAAAATTAACCCGTAAAAACAAAGTTTTTCACTATAAATCCTTTATATGCGTGGCGGCTAAAGTCCTCTCGTCCTCTGGCTTGAGATGGCTGCCACCTATGGGTCAGATGAATGGCTGCCACCATTAAGCAAAAGGTAATTAAATATAATTGATTATTTCCTAAAAAGTGTACAATTTTGGAGAAAAAATTTCACGAAAATACATTGTCACGCACAACGAGTCTGTGTGAAAAATGTCAGCTCGATTGGATCACGGGAAGTGTGTTAAAAAACGACCGAAAGATTTGCACGGTCGTAAGCAAGCAAGTGAACTTAATATAAAGGATTTTAAAAGAGCTACGTAGCTCAGTGGGCAATACCTGATCAAATAAAAAATTGTTTAGTCTGTAAAGTTCTGTAATGTCTCCTTCCACAGGCCATTCTATAACAAGTGGCGAATCACTAATCTGCCACTGTTTTGATATGACACTTAAATGTCTGACAATATCATTGAAGTAAGAGTTGGGGAACATTTCAGAAGAATAAAAGTTCGTTGCCAATGATTTAATTTAGGATTGGAAGAGTGAGACCCTCATTCACAAGGATAAAAACCATCAAGTGGCAGATGCCTGGTCCCAGCTTCTGGTGAGGGTTTCTGCGATTACTTTGACACGGCTATTATGAATCCTGGAAAGCCACAACCTCTCCAAGTTGTTCCTTTATTTGCCATTTCAAATATGCTGACACGTGCGCACACAGATACGCAGACAGACAAAAGACAAAGATTCACCGTATAGCCTTAACAGACTGTTGGGGCAAGTGCTGTTAGCGAGCAGCTATGAAGGCCGGCACAAGCACACGAGAGGGTGGGTGGGCCAGCACAACGCCCGGTCGCCTTTGTCTCCCGAGTGGCGATATACTGAATTGAGGCTGAGTCGACCTAGGGGAGCCCCAAGGCCGGTTCAAGTAATCGTCACTGATGTTGGCCGTGAGCAGGACTCGAACTCGGGTCGCCGGCTTCGTGAAGCTGTGCGCCAACCACTTCGCTCGCACACAGCCACATTCCTGCATGATCATCACGAGATGATTCTATTGAATCCTCCACCAAACCCTCAGCAGCAGTCACCCCCCCCCCGCCGCCCCAACCCAAACCTCAAACCTACAATGGGTCCGCCTCTTTAATGCCTTACAACGCGAGCCAGCCTCCAGTGCTCACACCCCAACAAACCTCCTCCCACGACTCCCACCCCCCCACAGCTAGGAATGGGGGACATTGTCTGCCGCGTCTGTGTCGTCTGGCAGTGCGACGACCACGGAGCAGACAGATCGGAACAAAGCGCTCAGTGTGTGGAGAGGCGGGCAGCTGCTCTGACGTTTCCCATTCAGACGCTAAGACCCCCCATCCCTTCCCCCCCCCCCCGCCATAGACGAATAGACTCTTGGGGGGGCAGGTGCTGTGAGTGGGCACTGCCAGCTAGGGTTGCGCGACATGATCTCGCAAATCTCACTTTCATTACAGAGGCTTTTTTGGGGGGGTTAGATCGAGTAAATATGAATGTGTCGTTAAACCCGCCACCACCCGACACAGCCAATTAGTAAGGGGTTTGTCACGTCAACAAAACGTGCCAATTCGTTACTAGTACGGCACACCGGTGTGTTGGAGAGTAACCCCACTGCAACATTTACAATTCTAGTACCGTGACGTTTAACCGATAAATTTCGATTTAAAGCTTTCGTGACTGCAGGGATTCATCTTCTTGGTTCTTTCGGTAAAGTTACGTAGAAGGAAACGTCGTGAGAATTGTTTTATTACGTTATATTTTTATTATTTTATTATTTTCCTTCTACGTGACTTTACCAAAAGAACAAAGAAGATGAATCCCTGCAGTCACGAAATCTTTAAATCGAAGTATATGGAGATGTTTAGATATTTATTTTACCAGATGAGGCCCACTGAGCTGTCTAGCTCTTGTTCAGAGGCGACCTGTTAATCACAAATGATGGCTCAACGAAGTGGCTCATCATCATCACGTGGAAATATTGATTCTAAATGTGGAGGGAAAATCTGGAGGACCGGGAGTCAAAATCCACGCGACCACGGGGAGAACATGGAAACTCATACAGCAGGCGTCGGGTTCGGGATCGAACCCACGACCTCCTGTATACCGGGCAAGGGAGATAACATCTCCTTGCCACCGTGGCACCCCAGAGAATTGAGCAGTTGTTGTGCATGCCCCGTGGTCGGGCATCCAAGCACCAGCCAGGCTCAATCCGGCGTTTAGCTCCTTAAACCTGATGAGGTATTATTCATAGTCACCTCGTAATTGTACCGCGCCGTCGCCACCACGGTATCCGCTCACTCTCGTCGAGACAGAACGACTCAGATGGCGCAAACGGGAAAGCACCAGCCAGCCGATGATCCGGTGCCAGCAATTTCCCCGAGCTCTGCGGTCCTCTCTATATATTACGGTGCTATTGGCCAATCAATGAGGGAGGAAACCGGAGCACCCGAAGAAAGCCCACGCGTGCGAGGGGGAAACACTCTATCCCACACAAACGGAACAGGTGGAGTCCACACTGTCGCTGTACTGCCGTCTCTCGGCGAGCCACGGTACAGCGCCTCCTCGACGCCCTCGCCTCCACAGTGTTGGATCAGAGGTGATTGCCATTATACATCACCGTATCGAATTACGATTAATTTCATCTTCTTGGTTCTTTCGGTAAAGTCACGTAGAAGGGAAGTAATAAAATAATTAAAATAAAACATAATAAAATAATTCTCACGACGTTTCGGCCACAACGCAAACAGCCGTCCTCAACCAAGAAGAAGAATCCCTGCAGTCACGAAAGCTTTAAATCGAGATTAATATTTAGTTAGAGACATTTACAGCTCCTGTGTCAATCGGCTGCTGAGATGAAAGTTCTCCCCTGTAGCGGACTCGTATGACCATACTTCTCCACGCTTCAATCTAGATTTGAAGCTTTCGTGACTACAGGAATCCATACTCTTTGGTTCTTTCGGTAAAAGTCACGTAGGTAGAAAAATAAAATAAATCACGGCGTTTCGATTGCAACACAAGCAATCGTCATCAGGTGGGAAAACCACAGCAATATTTTTTTTTCCACGCTTCTCTGTGCAGCTTGGTTAAGGGGCGGGGAGCAGAACCCCACCGCTTCAGACATCAGTGGCAACGTTGCGTGTAGCGGAGTGCATGGACAAGCCGCGATTATTGCAACTCACTACTCTACGGAACGTCTGGCAAAAGTAAAAAAACACAACCAAGCTGCAGTGTGCACAAAATTCTTTGGCACGTGTCGTGACGGGGTTAGGGGCCGTCCATAAATGACGTCACGCGATTTTGGACAATTTTTTGACCCCCCCCCCCCCCCTCGTTACATGGCGTCACAAAAAGTCAGACCCCCCCCCCTCAAATATGACACCCCAAAGCTCTGCCCCCCCTCAAAAAAATAAAACATGCTTCAAATCGCTTTAAACTATTGTCATTGTAGTGCGTATTTAATGTGGCGCTGCACTCCGATGTTCTAGAAGAAACATTTATTTTAAAAAAGTCTAATTAATTAAGTAGAACGTGTTGTCTATATTTATTTAAAGTTGCGCATTTTGATGTGACGTCACATTTCTAAACCCCCCCCCCCCCCTCGTCACACATTGTCACAAATGTCTGACCCCCCCCCCCCCCCCCAGGTGCGTGACGTCATTTATGGACGGCCCCTTACTGCAAGGTAAGTTCGCCGAGCTACATTGG